TATCATCGCATTATGAAAATAAAATTACGAGGCACGTTTTTTGGCATAGCGGACATCACAGTACGATCTTTTATTTTAAAATTATTGACCTTTTGTGCATTGTATCGCCATTTGCACATTATTTTTATGTTTTTAGATTTGAAATGATTGTCAACTGTACTTTTTTTTCAACTTTACATGAATGGCAAAAAGTTTGGCTCCATCTACATAGACGTTATCTTTGTATTCGTTTTTTTTTTGCACGCTTGGTTGCACTTTTCGTCATGATTATTAAAATAGTTAGCATCGATAAAAGATCAGTAATTAAAGATCTTAATAACCAATAAAAATTGAGATATTATGTGAATTTCCTAAATTATGCGAAAGCATAATGAAATGCGGTAAATTCAATATTATGCGCATATTATGCCGCAGCATAATCCAGGACACTCTAATAAAGATATACTGATAGGATAGGATAAAATATTTTAATTATTATATAAAGATTTTTAAATGAAAAAGTTATTTTCCTTTAAGACATTTTCTTTGTATTGTTATTCTAAAATTTACAATTTATAATCATGAACCCTGTACCTTCTATCATAGTATAGGTAAATTATTTGTAACTTTATGATTTAGAGTGTGATTATATTTATTTACAATTTATTAACAATAATGAGAATTTTAAAATTTTTAGTTTTGAGAAAAAAAAATGTATTAATTAGAAAAAGACAATTCATTTTTGTATAGTATTTAGTTATTATATATTTTTACCATGATTATAAAGAAAAATTATTAACGTATTTTATCTTAAATTACAAATATGGTCGAAAGCTGTGAAGTAAACCGGTTTTGAAAATATAGAGTCAGAAATTTCTTTATTATTTGATTTTAATCATTTACTTTTTATTTTTTAAGAATGTTGTGATGCAGAAATTTTAATAATCACTTTATTCCAACGCTAATTTATCTAATATATCCACTAGGATTCTTAAATTTAAAAATTTCAGAACAAATAATTTATCAGATAAACTTGAACTTTGCAACTTAACGGCAAATTTGATCTTTCATCTTAACGATCAGAACCGTATGTTTCATAAGCATTACAGAAACAGAAATATAAGATATAGTTTATTATCTAAAAGGTAAATGAATTATTAATTTATAATATCTCATTTGTGATAAATATTAATATCATCTATCACACAAGATTTTCAAAATGAGATATCTAATTATCGAGGTTCATAATAATTATACTTGTTTTACCAAATTATTAATACATTCAAAGCTTTCCTGTCAAATAAATACTCATAAACAAATTTTTATATTTGCTTTTAGGTATATTTATTCTTAAACCAGGACTCCGTGATGTCAATACATCTCTGGATGCTCTTATTCTCATAATATTCTCATAATTTTGTATACATTGCTTATCTCCATCTTTTTCATAATTTGAAAGACATTTCACAAGTAAATCAGCATCTCGTAATGCACCATTTATACCTGATTCAAATTAAATGAATGTAAATAAGAAAATAAATACATTAATTACATGTCTAGGGTACCTACCTAAACCCATGACAGGATTCATGGCATGGATGGAATCACCCAGTAAAGTTACTCTTGAAGATTCCCAAGGTTCAATAGAACTCGGATTAATATCTAGCATCGGCCTTCTCCTTGGTGGATTATAAGATCTGAAAAATGAAATCTCGGATTCTTTTGGTGATGAAACTGGTATCAACGAGAGCAATTCCAAATAAATATTGGTCAACTCACAAGGTCTTCTATGTTGTTTGATTAAATTTTTAACATGATCAATAACTGATTGAGGATCATCATCATTTACATGAACGTTTTTATTTATCGTGTCCCAGTGCGTATAATAAGAGTAGTGAATCATTGCTGGATAATGAATCTGATGATCTGGTGTGTTTGCTGTTATATCATTTTCTATTGGTATTAAGCACAAACCTAAAGTTAATGCGTCACCATCTTGAGAGATTGATTGATGAGTTAGACTATTTCCATTCATTGTAATAATCCGATCCACGAGCTTTTTATTTACAATGATGTTCATGATAATTTGTGTAATTCCATAATCAAATATTCGTAAATATGGTAATCTTTGTTTCCGAACTACAAAATGAACGAAAGCTTATTTAAAATCTAAGAACGTTTGATCTTTTATTTTAAAAAAATAAAATAATAATAATACTTGGAGAATGAATTCCATCGCATCCGATCAATATATCCCCCCTTTCTCTCGTTCCGTCTTCAAAGATTGCCCAAACTTCATCGTTGACTTCATCGTATCCAATACATTTCTTTCCCCATTGTATATTCACTCCTTCTAACATCAAATCCCTTAATCTATCTCTAAAAGCATTAACGTTAGAATTAGACACTTTTGCAAGTTCAGATAAAGATTTAACTTTTGGTGATCGCACTCTTAATAATTCGGTTCCTTTATCATCGCTAATTAATAACCCACGACTTTCTATTTCGGAGATTGGAATTGGAATAACTTCGGGAAGACGAGTTACAAGAGACTCCGGAAGGCAAGAAATTAATGATCTCATTCCATGAGAGTTAATGAATACACCAAATCCTTGCCATCGATCTAATTAAAAAAAAAAAAATTGATAAAAAATTATTTGCTTTTATTTAGAGACCAATCAACTTTTGATTATATACCACGTGGACCTGTATCTCGCTCAAATATTTTTACGTTAAATTTTTTCCCATTTTTATTCAAACGTTTCTGAATTCCGTGATAAAGTAATAATCCACCAGGTCCTGCACCAATAATTAAAATTGTAGGAATATGATTATTTTGCATTTTTTTTTTTTTTAAAAAAAAAAAAAAAGGATTAATCTAACGAGAGTTAGTGTAGTGGGTTTTGCCTTATAAACGCTATACATGTTACATGTAACACCTTGCAGCAGCCAATAATATTTGGTATTTTTATTTACAATCAGATTAATCCAAAAAAAAAATCTAACTTTATTTTATTGGTCCACTTGAACGATCACAGTCATGTGCTCAAAATTTCAGATTTCCCCATATACCGACCTAAAGCCGTTGCTAGCCGCAGCAATTAATTAGATCGCGCCGCCTTCTTTTTCTTTAGGTTTCTCGAAAAAAGTTTTACGCAGTGGTCAGGTGAATCAATTTTATTTATTTTTTTTTATTGCTGTTTTACAGGTTCGATCAATGATGGCATTCATTTACTAATTTCTTTAAATGAACTCATTTTGACATGCCAATTTATATAAAAATTATAATATTTGAGGTCATTATTTGCCAACACTGCCCTGAATTGGTCGAACGGTTCGTTCGCTTCAGGGCGCACCGGTCGATCTTTCCAAATCATGAACTCCTATTCTTCTCTTTTGGTTTGGATCCATAGAAGGTTTTTTTATTATGATTGTCATTATATTTATTAGGTGATTTCTTTTTGGTTTATTTTTTTCATTAACTTATTTTTAATTTCTTTTTAGGTCTTGCTACAATTTGCATATATGTAAGGTTTTTTTTTTTAGTTCGGGTTGGTTCGCTGCGCGTTGTAGCGATTATACTGTATCTGAGTTTTTTATTTTTATTACTTTATAGCTTTAACTTACGGGTGACTTATTTGGAAGTATATACGGTGCGAATTTTTTATTATTACTTTTTTTTTATTTTTCCGTTATCGTAAGTTTTATTTTAAGCGTGGTATAGTTGTTTAGTTAATTCAAAATCATAATTATAAACCACGATATTTGCTATACAAATATCCCGACACCCAGAATCCCGATATCCAGAATCCTGACTTCAAATTCCCGACATACCCAAAATCCCGATAGTCTAGAATCCCGATGGTCTCCAATCCCGGACTTATTTGCAACATCACCTGTAAATTGCTGAGTTAACTTTCTGAAAATGATTAAATAATTCTTCCGACCAAAAGTCAACTTCAATGATATGAATTGAGCAGTTTCCGGCTTTTTATATTTTGTAGCATCAATTACTTTTCAAGAATCCTTTAGTTGGTATTAATATTAATTTTCAAGGAGCATTAAATTTGTAATTTATTATTAGCATCAAGAAAGGTTCATTTTTTTCATTCAATTCAGTTTCGATCGAATTGTATTCAAACGTATTGACTATAACTTATTCCAAATATGAACAAAATCACTAAAATATAAAAAAATAATATAAATATATAAAGTTCTCATGAATATTTTAAATTTCGAGTGATATACCTTGAACATTTCAAAATTTATTTTGATGTTACAAAAAAAAAAAACATTTTTTAAATGCGTAACTATTTATTAAGATCAAATTTCCAAAAGATCGCCTGCTAATTACAGAGAAATAATTCTTCGGCTTATATACCGTCATAAGACACTACTTTTTATTCATGATGATTCATGTGATTTATATTAATTCCAAATTATCTTAATTGAAGCTATGAGGAAAATAATTATTTTTATAATATAAAAAAAAAATATACAATCTTTATGAAAAACTGTATCGCATTTGAGTGAATTTTGGAATTCGCTTATTAAATTTTCTTCATTGCTGGCTCAGAGAATTGAAATTTAATTATTTAAAATAGCAAACTGAGCGTGAAACATATCAATGGAAATGGGATTAGGTAAAGTAGCAAAGAGGTTAGGTGGAGGAAGTTGAGGAGTTGGTGGTGGCGGCGGATTCGTAACATTAGATGGTACCCTATGATAAAGGCATGCCAATTGAATGTTGATAATGCATTGCCCAGGTTACAGGTTGATCTGATTTCCACTTCGGTCAATAGTTCCAAATTCATACTTAATAAAAGAATACCTTAAATTTATTTTCTATAGATTTAACTTTTGCTAAAAGCATATAAAAAATATAACATACCATCGTGGGATTTAATTCACCGGTAGCTGTTCGATTATTTGTACAATAATGCCATGCCTATTAAGAATATAAAACAATCGGACATTACTAATGAAATTAAGTAGAAATTGAATCTTGTCATTTCTTACCGTCATCACTGAAGGTCTTGTAGCTGGCGCGACAGGTTCCTCTATTTTAATTGCAATAGCATCATGAGCTCGACCACCTTGAGTCCAGTAAGTTTCGACTTTAGTTTTAACATCCGCTTCAGATTGTTTGTACGCAACTTCTACTACTAGATTCGGCCAGGGCTGAGTCTAAAAATGTAATGTCAAATTAATCCTATAAAACCTTAAAGAATAAAATCAGGAAACGAATAAAAGCAATAACTCTTTATACACCACTTTCGTCACTTCCGCCACTAATCAATCGAGGTTTCGCTACTGGTGTCCATGATCCATCAGCTTCTTTGCCTGTACTAGGAGTCTTTGTTGCTTTTGCCAAGGATGATTAATGATAGATTTAGCAAACGCTAATAATATCAAAGGAAACTAACAACACTCACTTGTAGATCCATCATTAAGAATGCCGACGTTAGTGCTCATCACATTTCTAGTTGCTATAGCAACTTCATCGAGCACAACGCTCGTGAAATTTTGTGGGTAACTCAATGACACGGACGGTCCCATTTTCCCACTCCCACCAGCCGTGAATATTATATTTATCCGTATGTTCGACATAAGTATCATAAGATACCCCAGTAACAAGCTCATATGGAAAACTTGACAATAAACAACGGTCAACAACTAGCAGTCATTTAGCTTGTAAAATAGCTGAAACAACAATAAATGACTTACATTGCCTCTTCCCACCTGGCCTTCGAGTGTATTTTACCAGTTTTCCACCAGTATTTGCGATATCTTTTCATTTCGCCGGTTTCAAAGATATAGAAAGTGGATGTAAAAGAGGTGGTTGCAGGATCTTGGTTTGATTGGGTACTTTGACTAGTTGACATTTCTCAGAATAGTAAAATCGTCGTTCCCGTATAAAGTTGATTATTAATTATTTTATAACATAACTTTCTATCGCACAAGATAGTGATCTACTTCATCGGTTTTCATAAGTCACGGGAAATTTGTTGCCGAATACTTTTCGGCAACCCGGTAACCCGGCAATTCAGATTTCTAGAAAAATAATAATAAACTTGTGATGGCCAATCAATACTTTATAGAAATCCAAAGTATATTGAATATTTGGAGGATGAATACTACCGTGATCAAAAATTAGGGATGTCAACGATCAGATCTTTTGACTGAGCGATTAATATAAATTAACAGTTTTTGGTTTATTAGAAAGTTTCTAATTGAAAAAATATGATAATTTTATTATTATTCTTGCATGGCATGTCATTTTATTAAACTTTCACATAAATATATTTTTTTTTATGCTTTATTGGCACAGCTTTATCGCGGAATTTAAATTTAAATTTTTTTTTTTTTATAAATTTAATATAATTAAATAAAAAATAGATATACTAATTAAAAAATGAATCGGTCAAAATGGTCGGTCAGTAGCTTCTGACCGACCGATATCTGTCACGGTTATAACTGGTCATAACCGTGATCACTATCATCACAAATCTAAACCTTTCCTAGCGAGATAACAGACCTGAATTAGATAAGGTTCGGAATTTGTAACATTAACGTGCCTTGTTTTCTACTTGTGAAGATCTTTTACTATCCTCACGAAAGTACTATAGCATAGATCTTTTTATTTTTATGACTTAAAACCAAGGTGCAAAGTTAAAGTTACCATAATCATCTAGCTTCCTCATTTTTTTTTAAATAAAACTCCGCAACCATACTAGCGTATCTGTTAAAAAGTACATTGCAAGTAAGTTAGTAATGTTTTTATGATCTAAATTTGGCATGCAAAACATACCCATTTGCAAATAGATATCTTCAATAACATCTCGGCCCAACTTTATGTCTTTACACTTGTTCTTTGATAATTAATCTGGAGAGGGTTACGGACGTTGAATGGTGATTGCTTGAGTTCAGCTCAAGGATGCTAATAGATCTGTTGTACCCCAAATGCGTTAATGTCCGAAATGCGCATTTCGGACATTAACGCATTTGGGGTACAACATTCCCCTGAAAATTTTCCCGATGCAATCAATTAACCACTCATTCGAATTATTGGCAACTTGCATTTTGATTTTTTAATTTTGTTATAATGCAATGATAAAAATTCCTGAAGTAAAAAAAAAAAATGCACTAAGCAACCGATCATTAATGAATGATATGTGAATAAATTTTTTTTAAATTAGTTTCTCGTGTACTTTATCTTCCTAAACAGTTCCATAATCTCATTGAGTTAGTAATCAACTAGTGAAATTGTAGCGTAACTGCATTATATAATTTGATATTGGGGAATGGGGAATTAAAAATTAGATATCTATGGTTGAAACGATCTAAACGAAAAGTAAAACAATTAAATAAAGAAATTGAATATTGAAACGAAAATAATAACATACAGTGGTGTGCAAAAAAAATGACAATTTTTAAAATTACGATCGTTACACAACCACTTTATCAATCGAAACGT